GGTTTCCGTCATCCCAATTTGTGCATCTTGTTCCATCTTTGATGATAGGGGGAGAAATTTTAACCCCGTCAGAGAGGGGCCGCAATCTGGGCGTCCTCCTGGATACGCGGCTTAGTTTAGAAGAACACCTGAAGGCCGTAACAGGGGGGCTTTTTACTAGGTTCGCCTGGTACGTCAGTTGCGCCCCTTTCTGGATTGGGATGCTCTGTGCACAGTCACCCATGCCCTCATCCTTTCTCGCCTGGACTACTGTAACTCTCTCTACATGGGGCTGCCCTTGAAAAGCACCCGGAAGCTTCAACTAGTCCAGAATGTGGCTGCGCGGGTTGTCATGGGGGCCCGCAGGTACTCCCATGTTACACCCCTTTTAGGCGGCCTGCACTGGTTGCCGGTTATCTTCCGGGTATGATTCAAGGTACTAATGATGACCTTTAAAGTGCTCCTTGGCTTAGGCCCAGGGTACCTGCGAGACCACCTACTGCCACTGGTAGCCTCCCATTGTCCAGTGCGATCCCGCAGAGTTGGCCTCCTCAGGGTGCCATCGGCCAGACAGTGTCAACTGGTGACCCCCAGGGGGAGAGCCTTCTCTGTGGGAGCATCTTCCCTCTGGAATGAGCTGCCCCCGGAGCTTCGTATAATCCCCGACTTCCGGTCCTTCTGACGCGCCCTAAAAAGTTGGCTTTTCCAGCAAGCCAGCCTGGCCTGAACAAAACAAATCAAAGTATTGATTATCGTTAATTTTAATTTGAAATCTTTTAAAATAATGTGTCATTGTTAATTTTAATTGGGTTTGGGGATATCCTATTTAATCTCTTTTTAACTTTTGTAGTTTGTGTTTCTTTTAATGTTGTACGCCGCTCTGAGTCCTTGGGAGAAGGGCGGCATATAAATCGAATAAACCTCAAACCTCATATGTATTGCCTCTTGTATATTTATTGATCTGATAGTCTCATTGACTCTTGTTTTCTAGACGAAGAAATGTATGAAAACAAAGACTTCGTATGAGTCAAACAGTAGTGATGATGATAATAAACCTGAAGCAGTTGGAATTGCGTATAAATCAACACGATCTGCGGTATGAATATTCTTAAAACAGTGTCTGCTGTAGTATATTAGATGACTTTTGATAGATTGTAAGAGTTTTGTTTCCCAGCAATTAAACAATTGCAAGAAAACTTGAGTTAGTATTAATGGGGTTTCACAAGATCTTTGCCAACATCTGCTGGCCATTTTAAAAATTTTGTAATGTAACTTGGATGATACATACTTGTACAAAATGAAGTTGTCATTGGTTTCATTGCCTGAATCAAAGGAATCTCATTTTACTCTCCTTAACTTCTATGAGAATTTTATTTAAAAATGAGCTAAATTATGTAACTCTGAAATTTAACCATTCATCTGCTAGAGTTCAGCTTTTTTGTAATAAATTTAATTATGGTAATAAAGACTGAGGTTTATTTTCCTTTCTGTGCTACTAATGGAGTTTTCATATTTCAGAAACCTGTGGGTCCAGAGGACATGGGTGCAACAGCTGTATATGAACTGGACACAGAGAAGGACAAAGATGCCCAAGCCATTTTTGAACGCAGCCAACAAATCCAGAAGGTACATATTTTTCAGAGTATAAGACACTCTGAAGTATAAGATGCACCTAGCTTTTGGGGAGGAAAACAAGAGAAAAAAAAATCTGCTTCTGCCTCTTTGCAAATTTTAGAAGATATACACTGTTGTTGCTTTTAAAATGGATGTGGCTTTCTGGAAGTATACATTATTCTCTACTGTTAAAAAGAAGATACAATAGCACTGGGCCTCTTCAGATCAAACATTTTAAAAAACTTTATTTTGTTAAATTGTCTAGAACTATAAAAAAGCAGTTTTTTAAAAAAATAATTCTTATAATTTGAACATTCTATAGGCATTTATAGTTATTGACTGCCCTGCATGCAGCAAGCAGCCTTTTTCAGTTTAGCCTGAATAGAAGAAAAAAAAATTGTCTCTGCCTCTCAGAAATATGCCTCTTTGCAGCAAACAGCAAGTTTCACTTTCAATTTCAGTTTAAGCATGGGACTCCCGATGATCAGCTGTTTCAAGCTGAAGGGATTGCCATAGCCTATTGCCCTCTTCACAAGCCCCACTTTCTCCATTTGCTGCAAGGAGGTAAATTGTTGGGAGGCAGAGGCCAAAAGGTGGGGGCTGGTGGATGGCTAGGGCTACATGGTGTATAAGATGCACCCATATTTTCACTCTCTTTTAGAGGGGAAAACGGTGTGTCTTATACTCTTAAAAATATGGTAGGTATCTAGACAATTGTCTTCTTTGCTTAAAGTCTTTATATATCAACAAGCAATCAAAGGGGAAAAATGTCATACTGTTTATATATGTTGATGTTTAATATTTTTTCTTTAGTATTTCTTCCGCTTCGAAGTCTACTACCAGGATTTTCAGATGATTTGTAACATGACTAGCATCTCTTTAATCTTGCTTATACTTTTATTTCTGTTTCCATTTCTCACTATATTTCTGCTGCTGTTCCAATTTTATCTGGTATTGTTTTTAGTCTTGTGTGGAAGCCTGACAGATGCTTTAATGAGCAGCATAGCAGAGAGATCTCTGGACTTGCAGAAAATAGACTGCTTCTTAATCATTTTGAAACATGCACAGTTCATTTATTTATGATTGATTTAATTTGTATGGCCACCCATTTTACCTATATGACTTTGGATTGCTCACAACACTGAGTAGATGATCATATGGGAACATGAATTGCCTTGCCATTTTTTTTTAAATTTCAGGAACTTCAAGGAAAGGAAGACGATAAAATTTATCGAGGAATTAATAATTATCAAAAGTATGTAAAACCAAAAGATACATCCATGGGAAATGCTTCTTCAGGCATGGTAAGGTAAGGAGAAAATACAATGTTCATTCCAAGAAAAAGTATATGGAATTAGCTACCTGAGGATGCATTTCATAGTATGGGAAAATTTGTCAGTTTGATTCATTTTTCTATCTGCTAATTATTTCTGTTCTCTTAACTTGATGATTTACTTTTAACAGTTTTGTAATATTTGTAAAGAATGGCCTTCATATTCTAAGAGGAAACTAGATATTTCCAGATTTAAACACATGAATGTAAATCTCACCCTGCTATTCAAAAGTCAGTAAACCCCTTTGATTGAAAAGGGGAATCTGATTATCCATCAAATCATTGTGGTCTTCCTCAAATCTTACTACTTTGGTGGCATTTGTTTATTGTTATAGATGCAACCCTTTTTATCATTTACAGTCATTTAATCTTTTCTTAAGTTTTTGTTGTTTATTTCAGGAAGGGACCAATCCGAGCCCCAGAACATCTCAGGGCCACTGTGAGGTGGGATTACCAGCCAGATATATGTAAAGACTACAAGGAAACTGGGTTTTGTGGCTTTGGAGGTAAATTAATTTTTTATATACTTTCTGATTGTTTATTGATTTGGATTAGTTGGCAGCAGAACAGAAATAATTGACACCATTGTTAAGTGTTCCTTTTTCTTCCCTACAGATAGCTGCAAATTTCTGCATGACCGATCAGATTATAAACATGGGTGGCAAATTGAGCGGGAACTGGATGAGGGACGCTATGGACTTAATGGTATGAGCAATCCCCTTTCTTCTGGTATTCAGCAAATGTAACTGGTTGTGATGAAAATAATGTATTTCAAATTCATATAGGATATGACAAATAGCAGGTGCAAGGTTGGGTGGAATTGAATTATACAATTACATACATACATACATACATACATACATACATACATACATACATATATATATATATATATATATATATATATATGTGTGTGTGTGTGTGTGTATATATATATGATCTCGCACAAGCACGAAGCCGAAAACACCACCCTGAAGATGGCAAGTGAGACCGCGCCGGAACGTTGCCAAGACAATCTCAATCTTACACGGGAAAAGATCCAAATACAACAAGATCACCCACCCACCCACCCACACAATAGGAATGGGAAAAAAATGTTTCCTTCTCTTGCATATCTGTGCGCATGTGTATGTAATTATAGAGTGTGGGTACATGTGTGCAATGGGGACTGAAAGTTATCTGCATGGATTCATATTAACAGATTGAAAATGAAAACATTTGGAAGAATCTATATAGGAAAGAGATACATTTCTCTTGATTTAATAAGAGTTTTAATAAAGAGTTTAGGTTTTCAAACTCGTAATTAAATATAAATTTTGTAGCACAATGTAGCTATATTTGTATTTTCTGGTATCTTGATTATATGATGTTTTCAGAGTATCAATTTTCGGATAACTTCAAGAGCTAGGGCCAGTTGTGAACTGTTTTTCTTTGCGCATATGGGCTGTCTTGCCTTAGTACATACAGTCGACTTAAATGTATAATTTATATCAACTATTTCGATAGCCTGTGATGGTAATAAGCAAGTAAATTCTCTGCAGAGGACAAATATGTATGTGCCTGCCTTCTTCATCTGAGAACTGTGGGAGGGAATAGAAGCCAACTGTCTTAAGTGATTATTTTAGTAAAATTATTTTTATCTGACTTGTTAATGTTACCCCTTTTGGCAAGAATAACTGCCTACATGGAGTTGGTAGAAGATAAAACATATGTCATTGTTGTTAGCAGAACAATTTAGCAGGTACTTTTTCCTTTTCTACAGATGATGAAAATTATGAAGTAAGTAGTGATGAGGATGAACTGCCTTTCAAATGTTTTATTTGTAGAAGCTCCTTCAAGAACCCTGTGGTAACCAAGTAAGATTATCTTTTTGTTAATATTGACATTTTTAAAGTGATCTATGGTCTTTAATTTGGCAGTTTTGAGACTGACAGGTTGTCAAACATCTATACAATCACGTGAAAAACACCCTAGTGTTTATATATAATTTACTACCTTAAAAATATTGATGGCCCTAAAGAGATACTAATGCTGTTTTTAAGAAATGTACATTTGAAGTGACTAAAATGGAAGATTTTCTTGAAAATGAAAAAAAAAATGCTACTTCTCTACTAGAAATTTGCAGCAATTATCTTATGTTGTCTTAGGTGTAAACATTACTTTTGTGAAAACTGCGCCCTACAACATTATCGCAAGTCTCAGCGATGTTATGTATGTGATAAACAGACTAATGGTGTCTTCAATCCAGCCAAAGGTATTTGGCCCCTATTTCATTTTTAACTGGAGCTGGTGGGGAGTGCCTGACTTTGTTTTATGACCTTTTAAATGTTAATTAAGAGAATGCTACAGTTGTTAAGTGAACCTGTCAGAGTTGCACAGCTGGTGTCCAAATGGAGTCAGAGATGCTGACATGAATCAGTTTTATATAAATATATTTACAGTAAATAAGAGGCAAACAGCATCATCAGGTAAAAATCAACACATCAAGAACATCATGAGGTAAATCAGAGTGCACACACAGCACACAGAGGAAAAAGTTGGGAAACAAGGAAATTTATTTTTTACTCACGGCAACCAATCACAGCTCAGACTTCATTTTTCAGTGGCCAGCTGTCTTTGACCAATTAGCTATAACTATTATATTTAGTCATTGTCCAGTTATTCATTGTTCCAGCAATTACAATTTAAATATCTTAACAGAACCTATTATTTTTTATGGAGCAGTTTTAGCCAAAACCTGGAAGTGGACACTGGTTGTTTTTTGGGGGGAGGGGGGAGTTGTAAATCAGTCATGTGACTTCGACACTGCAAACAGCTGTAAATGTGGATGGCAAGCACCCAAAATACAGTAAGGTAACTGCAGGGGTGGCCAATGTTGGAAATTTGAACCTAGATCACTCGTGGCTTTGGAGGGAGGAGTCTGTCATAACTTTGGAGTGACTAAATGACAGGTTGTAAGTCAAGGGCAACCTATACAAACAAAATATTCTCTAATGATAGATCTCAGAGTGTATATTTTATATATGTATATATAGCTTTTAAAAGCATGTATGTGCTATATGTAAAACCTATTGACAAAAATCTTAGGAAAAAGCCTTCAGATTTCTGTATTTCTCAAAATGTTTCCTTAATCATGACTAGAAATACATTTAGGAGCAGGTGGCTTGCATGTTGACATTTTCATGAGCACAAGGGATAGATCAGCAGGAGAGACCATCTGCACGTTCCGTAAAATACCTCTGGTCACTGATTGTAATAAGTGATTTGATGATTTGCCTCAGTCAAGACATGTATTAAAGATAACAAAGATATGCTATTTTCCATACTAGGATACAAGGCAGTAAATAATGAAATTAATTTTGACTCTTAACTCATGGGTGTCCAGCCTTTTGGTTTGCCTGGGCTATATTGAACGAAGAATTCTCTTGAGTTGCCTATAAAATATATAGCTAATGCATATAAATTACATAATGTTAAAGGTTTATGATCTTATGAGGCCTTTACTAGCTGTTCAGAGCTGAATGCATCCCGCAGGATGAACAGGTCTGGTTGTTAAGTGAGGTAAATAAGAACTTTGGATTGTTAATGTATTCAACCTCAATTTTCATAATATATTTTTGTTCTATAAGGAATATTTACTTGAAAAGATCTTTAAAATGTTTTTCCCTCTTCCAGGGGAAGATTCATTATTAGTAAATGAATTTGAAAAGGGGGATTGGGAAGTAGATCAGCTAATCTTACTATTTTAAATGCACATTGTTCCTGAGCTTAAGAAAACTAATTCAATATGAATATAACTTTAAGAAGATTAGAAACATTTCCAAACCTATGGAAAGTCTATCTCATTCAGTTTTTTTTCTGAGTAGGGAATTGTGTCACATACATAGAATTCAGTATGTTCCTCAGAATATAAAGGAAATGGCTTGGATAATTTGTATGGATCATGTTGTGAAGTATTACTTTTTAAATCTTGGATTTTGTTTTACAGAATTGTTAACAAAACTGGAAAAACATAAGGCTGAAGAAAGTCCCCTTGAAGATGCTGGAGAGCAAGATTAGAATTTTCTTTACTATTTTCATGCCTTACATCCTCCAAAGAAATAATTTGATTGCAGAATAAATAATTGATAGAAAAATAAATTGATCCATCATGCTTTGTGCTTCAACATACATTCCAAACAACTTTACAGACCAAGACCGAGATATTACTGATAGTAAAGAACATTATGAAAACAAAGCAATTCATTATTTTTTATTGCTTTAATGTATTGGGGAAAAAAAGGGGGGGGGCAAGGAAAACAAAAAACTGCACAAAAACAGCAGCTCAAAAACTTTGTATTTCTGAAAGTTAAAGGAAATAGTTCTTCCTGTGTTCAAACAACTTCTGTATTCTAAAAGGAAATAACTAGCAGAAATTAAATTGGCTGAACATCTCTCATGTTACTTCTTAAAACATATCCAATTGGTCTTTTGTGGTTTGGTATAAGAGTTCAAGACATTTCAAACAGTCCAAAGTAGTTAGTTATCTTGTGATTATAGTTTTAAGTCTGTTTTTTACTTATTGGGCACTGTACTAATCTCAAACCTTGTAATATTTCTACTATGTTACCTTTCAGGTTTCAATAGCAAAGATATAAATTGGGCTTGCTAGCTTTTATGTTTATTTTTTTTAATTACAGGGAGTTCATAATGCAGATTTATTGAAGAACATTGTAAAAATGCAGAAATCTTTTATTGGCAAGAAATACAGCTTAAGACATGAATACTTACAACCTGCAAATGCTACAGTTTGCCAGAAAAGTTTTGGCTCAATGTTTGATTGAACGACGATTAAGTATATAGAAGAATGAAACATTACTACACAAGTTGGGACGATTCATTATAGGAAGGAATTCCAAATTACCTTGTTAGATACAATTAAAGATATCTTCATATTCTAACCCTATGTCAATAGGGTTTCTTCCTGCTAGTAAGCAATTCTGAGTAGATTTTTATTGGTTTTTTTTTAAGTGCATGGCACTCAGTTCCTTGGGACGACTGGCAAACCTACTAAAAGATTTTGGTTTCATTAAAAAACAATTGAGCACATATATTTTATGTCTTGCAACCAAAATTCAATACAATATTGTTAATTTTTTCCTCTCAAAGCCCAGGCTTTATTTTAATGCAAATGTCAGCTAGAACAACTTCCTATGCAAGAAACTGCAGTGTATTGAGCAGATTGCTTTGTAAAAATATTTCACAATGATGTTCTATTGATAACCTAGAATTCCCAATCATCCATCTCAAGCTGCTCCATATTGGAAGCCAATCCAAATATATGGCTAGGATCTTGTGTCTGCATCCCTTCAAAACTGGTAATTGGCATGACAGGATATAGCAGTTCAGGAAGTGCTTCAGATGCCCGATGTTTGATCTGGAGGGAAGTAAAAACATAACCTAGAATTAAAAAATGTGATTAGATGCAATTGGACTCAGTCCAAGTTTATATATAACTCCACCTCAGTGTCACTTTTTATACATAGGTAGTCCTTGACTTGTAAACCCATTATTGAGCTCAGAGATTCGATTAAGCAAAAAACATTAAGCTGCACATCACATGACTGCCTACATAATTGTTCAACAACTGCAATCCTGGCATTCCTGATTATGGTCATTAAGCAATCTTACAGATTGTGAAATGGACAGAGTCCCAGGTAAGGAACATGAGATGCTTCGGGTGGGTGAGACCCTGTGAAGTGCTACCCAGGAGCTGAAAACTTTCCCGTTGAAATCCAAACTTTTCAGCCCCTGAGCAAAGAGACATTTGTGCATAGCCTGTGCTGAGGTTCCCGCACCTGCCGAGGCACCTCTACCACTATCTTTCCACTGCTTGTATTTCAGCTGCCGTTTGTTTATTGGAGCTGGCTACCAAAGGATGCACGGAAGAAAATGTCTTCAGTGGAATGCAGGAACAGAACTCTGATCCTGAAGATCTGATCCCCTACTAAAGGAGGACAGCTCCTCTTGGGGTGTGGAAGAAAGTTTTTCAGTGTGGTAGAGAAACAGTTCAGATCATCAGGATTTCAGCTCTATTTCTCTACCCCTTAGAAGGCTGAGGTGGTGCAGTGGTTAGGGTGCAGTACTGAAGGCCACTACAGCTGTTATCTGCAGTTCAGCGGTTCTAATCTCACCGCCTCAAGGTTAACTCAGCCTTCCAGCCTTCCGAGGTAGGTGAAATGAGGACCCAGACTGTGGGGGCGATATGCTAATTCTGTAAACCGCTTAGAGAGGGCTGAAAGCCCTATGAAGCGGTATATAAGTCTACTTGCTATTGCTATTGCTATTGAACTCCTCTTGGCAGAGAGCTCTTTCAGCCAACCCCAACAGGTGAGAAGGAATCTTCTTGGCAAGCAGCAACAGCTTGCAATCTTCCCTGCCAGCTGCTTCTCCAATGCTTTAAGATTGCAATTGCAAATAGACTGATAAGCATCTTCATTGCAATCACATAAACTGTGAAGAGGGGAGAGGCGTGACATTTTATATAAGATCCTTTCCAAGGCCATCAAGGACTGTATCTGGGTGTTCCTTGCACATACAGAAATAGGAAATAATTTAGCATCCTAATTATGTTGATAATCATTGAATAAATAAAGCAAGAGTTTTACCTCTCATCCTTTTATAACTACTAAAAAAAAATAAGAGAAGAGTTCTTGATTTCATCTTTTCTTGATGACTTTGGATAGCATACTGCTGAAAATGCTGGATTACATTAGAAGTTTGTACTAAACAGCAGATTGTTGAGCCCCAAAGGCACTTTAGTTCTTAGAAATTCTGCCAAACCTTTGTGGATTGCGTACAGTCAGACAGAATCAAACCTTTTTGATTGTTGGGAATTTGGGCTGAAAAGAAAATCTGCAAAGACCTTTGGGAAGGGATGAAAGAATGGTATATCACTTTTTACTCTTCTGCACAGCCTGTCATTCTTCCCAGTGCTTTTCTTACCTCCCCTTGTGAAGCCAAGGACTTCACTAGTAATTGCTAAATGGAAACACTATTCCTGAAAGAGCAGAGAGAAATGGGCCAATCAAGGATATGAGTAACTATCCAACCAGCCTATCCTCTTTCTCAGACCTTTCCTAACACCTCCTTCCTGTTACTCTTTCCTCAAAACCATTTCTGAGAGGAAGAGGCATGACTGGTCCTTGTCTCAAATAGAACATAAATATTTTAATCCAGATACAGGTTATTAGAAACCAGCTTTTCTGTATCGGAATGTAAAATTTTATAAGAACCAAAGACTAAACTTAGCTACTATTTCCATCCCTTACAGAAAATCAACAGGCAATAAGGACTCGATGATGGAAATTCCAAAATTCTGGATCTCCAAAATATTTGCATTTTTACAAATGGAAAAAGGCATGATTCTGCAAGAGCATAATTCTTATTTTAAAAATATTTATCTATCTGGGTCTTTCTGCCTACTGCCCCAAATCAGCAAAAGCTAACTTCCAACAATAGATATCTGGCTCACAACATGCCTGACATCACGAAGTTATGATCGAGTTGCCAAAATCATACTGGAAGCTTTGTCAGAAGTTTGGGTTCAAATACAGCAAAAATTACTGGGAATACCAAACTGTCAAATTTCTTGAAAATGAACAGGTCATGATATTTTAGGGCTTTCGAATCCAAACAGACAAGACATCTGGCCCAAAACATGCCTGACATCACTACTGTGGGAAAGAAAAAAGTCTGGTTCATTGATATTGCAATATTCTGACTTTGCAAAAAAACCTACCTTAATCAGAATTGCCTATATATTCAGACATTAACAGCTCTAAGGTTCTTGGTTAGGACTTGAACTGTTAAATTTTTACCAGTCCCAGACTGTGAATCAAAATGACGATTAACCATAATAACGCAAATTAATTTCAAAATAGCTTCATACTGTTTTGTTTACATATTCACAGAAATGGTCCCAAAGCAGCTGTAATTCTTGACTTTCTTTCTTACTCTCCACCAAAGTAAGAGTGAGAAAAGGATAAAATATGTCAAGGCAAGTGGTTGAAACTTACCTGTTTGAAAAAAGAATGGTTCAGCAATGCATTTGCACTTGGCCTGCATATGAAAAAAAAAAGGTTATACACCAGGATGTAAAAGTTGCAGAAATTGGAGAAGATCCAGAAACTTTTCCCTTCAGAATATATATGATTCAAATATGGAAAAATACGGCTAAGAAAGAGAACAATATCAGCATCAAAAGCCAGGATATAGTTCTGCAATGGAGTTTTCTATGGCAGGCATGCCTACTACTACTACTTTCTTTTCTGCATGAATGTATTTGAGCTTTTCCAGGAAGAAAAGAAGTTATCTTAGGGAGCAGCAGTGAATACTCTGTTCTGACTCTCTGAACAAGCCAGAGAAAAGCAAAATAAGAGACTTCCTTCAGTTTTGGAAAGCCAATGTTATGTTAGCAATTGTTGCCTGGCAGTATGTTATCTGCCTCAATTGGTAGAATGAATAAAAGGGTATTCTCTAAGGCAGATGATATCCTGAGAGCCCTTCATTCAAGCTCACATGCTGATTGAATAAGCAACTTTTTCCTAAACACAGTGCTTACTAGAATTCTTGTCAAGACCCTGGAGGAAGAGTGAGATTTAGCTTCATCTTCTACTGATAGCGACTTGACCAATGTTTACCATTAACAATAAGGAATGAGTACTATCCACAAGTTACCTCTGAGCCAGGCACTGTTTCACATTAGCATAAATCCATACATCATATAAACTAAAGATTCATATTGAATGGAGGCAAACAAGTACCGTATTTTTCGGAGTACAAGACATACCTTTCCCCCACAAAAAAGAGGGTGAAAATCTGGGTGCATCTTATATACTGAATATAGCATTTTTGGCCTCCTGAAACCCCACCCTCACAAAAATGGATGCGCTTGTAGAGTGCTCCAGGGGGTTGGGAAGGCGATAAAAATAAGCAAAAAAAATCAGCCCATTTTTGGTGAAAACGGACCAATTTTTTGCAAAAAAAAATAGGGCATGCATAGGCTTTGGGAGGCCAGCAAAGTGCTCCTGGGGGCTGGGGAGGGCAAAGACGAGCAAAAACCAGGCTGGTTTTTTGCCCGTTTTTGCCCTCCCTAGCCCCGCCCCCAGGAGCATTTTACAAGGCTCCTAAAGCCTATGCATGCCCCCCCCTTTTGGCAAAAAATTAGTCCATTTTTGCCAAAAATGGTCCGATTTTTTGCTTGTTTTTGTCCCTTCCCCAGCCCCCAGGAACACTCTACAAGCTTCCCAAAGCCTAGGCATGCCCTGTTTTTTTGCAAAAAACAGGCCCATTTTCAGGCCTCTCAAACTTTGCATGCCTCTTTTTCACAAAAAATATGGCATGCAGATGGTTTAGGAGGCCTGCAGAGTG